AGTGCGGAGATGAGCGAGAAGGACCGAGGGAAATTGAGTTGGGAGAGGCATCGAGGGGTCGGTGGGGGAAGCGGGCGCCTGCGGGAAGAATAGAAGGAAGCGAGCTGATGTGGGAAGGGCGAAGAGGCTGGGCGAGTATGAATCGCTAGGAATGTTGAGCGTTGGCGGGAGTGCGGAGATGAATGGGCGGGAAAGGCAGTGTTGAGAAAGCGCCGAGTGATTGGCGGCACAAGGGTTAGCGACAGTTGGAGAATAGACGGTTATGAAAGGTAAACAATTGGTAATTTTAATGACATTAACTCACTGCTGGTGTCGCAATCAGGTACGAGGAAAAAGATACTGCTTGCATCCTAGGAAATGCAACGTAACAGATATTTTACGTAATATAATCATTTTACTTTCGATCATTCTTAATAGGAAAAACAAATGACATATCGAAAACATTTTCGAACTTTGAGATTATTGTTCATAATTAATATAATTATTATTTATTTCCCTTATGAAAAGAATGATTGTTAATTAATAGAAAAGATAAGTAATAAATACTAAAAGGATGATTAATGATTCTGTACACAAGCACATACGCAACTTAAGAAATTATCAATAACTTTTTTTGGTACTGCGACATGGAAATACTAGGGTAAATGTAGGGTAAATGTAGTCGTGCAACACAAAATAATTATTTAAAATAAAGCATAGAGCAGTTTACTTTACTTTACTTTTATGTCAAAAACAGTTCAAAATGTTAGTGACGTGCTACGGGAGAAGTTAATTTGAAGTTACAATTACGGACACTAGGAAACTCGGAATCCTAAAAATCGATATTGGTGACGGTTCTATTGCACCTGAAAAAATTTTTGAAGGATACATAGAGTATTTGTTGTAGTCTTTGTCATAGACAATGAAACAAAACTGATAAGAAGCCAATATATGGAAGGAATAAAATTTGGCAAACGGTGAATAAGCAAAGCATATTTCCAATAAATAAATAGAGACAAATTTAGGAAGAAAAAAATGCCGTAGAAGCTTTCATCATCAGACAGTATAGAAAAGGTAAAGTAGGTAATTGCTTCAAAACAGGTATTGCTATTCGGGGCATAACTACACTTGGAAACCTAAAAAAGGTCAATAGTGGAAGAAAGACTTGACTGAAAACGTAAACTCAAAAAATGAAACCAAAACATTAGATAAAATAATACTACGTCAAAATAATTCTAATTCTACGCTATGGAGGAGAGTCCGGATCGGGAATCTGGATAAAAAAACGACGTAATCATTATACATCACGCAAAGGACAGAGTAAAAACATAATTGGCAGAGTCGGCGAATCGAAGCACCTGGCGCGGGAGCGCTGCTTCGGCGAGCCAGGAGCCAAGAAGAGAGGAACAAGAATGAGGCGCGCTGGGCGCGCGGCGCGGGAAGGACTTCTGCCCGGCGCGCCCCGCAGCCTCGAGCGCGGAATGGGGAGCGGGGAGGGCGCGGGGACGGCGCGCGCGGCGCGGCGCGGGGGCAGCGGGGAGCGGCGGTGCGCCGCCCCTCCCGCTCCGCTCCGCTCACTCACCTCCGCGGTTTTCACTGTCCGCTGGTTTCACTTGAATAGGACGGTTCATCTGAAACAAGAGGAAACGTGAGGTTAGCGCCGGGAACTCCCCTTCTCTGCATACATTAGCGCTTTGCGAACTTGTTCTCCCGAGGCGCCCGCCCGCTCCGCTCCGTGTGCCGGATGCGGGGCGAAGGCGGCTATGGGCGCTGCGGGGTGCTGGCAATGGATTTGGTGCAGGGTAGGACTACCACAGAGGTGGTCGCGGTAGCGGCGTTGGAATAAACGTGGGAAACAGTTTCATGCGTGATATTTGACCAATCTTGTAGTGTTTTTGCGGGATGGAAATGGAAATGCGGTAGCGCTTGAAATGTCGCTGACTGAGGCAGTGCAGATGGTAGGAGAGGTTGATGTGTTAGATACCCCAAAGTGTGTCAGTGGTGCGGTGGGTGTTGGGAGATTTGTGTCCGTCACTGAATTTGAAAGTGGTAGAAGCGTCGATGGAACTTGGAGACCCGTAAGGTGGTCCGTTGGCGGACGGATGGTGCGGATAACATTGTACGCCAGGGAGATAATTAATGAAAACCTTTGGGAACATGGGCAGGAGTTTCATCTGTTTTGTTTCGTAATAAAGAAGACTTGTCTTTCTGGGCGGTCTTTGTAGGTCAATCTCTGTACCGGAAGTTTAAACTGTACAGATATTACCTTTACACGTAGTTATTCAGTTCAGCATGTAGCTACAATTTATTAATTTATTATTTTCTTCGTATTTACCTAAATGCAAAACAATGATATGATATTTTATTAATTTGAAATAAATACAATATATTTCATTAATATTTTAAATATTTTATGAAAAGAAAGTAGGCTACAGGCTATCATGAAATAGTAATAAATTATTTACAAAACTGTAAATTATTGTAAGCTCTAATCACATCCATGAATTCCATTAGATTCCTTTCCGTTATAAAATATGATTAAACTAGTGGTGCTACAACATACACTTTCTCGCATCCTCTCCTAAATTTGCAACTTTCGAAAATGCAAAGAGTTCACTCGAATAAGACTAGCGCCAATTTTTTTTATGGTCCTTTGATAGCCTAGTTAGGAAGAGAGAAATGAAAGAAAAAATTGCAGCCGTTTTTGAGAAAATAGTTTGTGTAAATATTGAACATTTAAAAAAATAAATGCCTATATTTTTCACAAATTATGCAAAACGTTCTCAAATCTTCAAAAAAATTGATCTTACAATATTTCAAGACCTGTTTTAAAGAGCTGAGTTCATTCAGGAACATATCTTTATCTTCAATAAAGTATTTGTAGGAAGATGCCGAACAAATATTGAACTTTTACAATTTTCGAATAAGCAAGATTCTCAAAGAAAATGAGACTTACACCATTCTCTTAAGCGATTTTACTCAATCTCAGGCCAACATTTAATAATTGGAACCATTTTTGTGAACTTATTGAAAATGTTGATGCTTCATGTAAAATACCACTGAAATAAAAATATCCGTTCCTAACTCAAAAGGCATCAAGTTGACTTAAATTGATCGAGCAATATCAATTTTGGAGAGAAATGTCTGAACAGTTTGACAAAATTTTTGCAGTCAATCGATTTTTCACAATCAACATTTAAAACAAGGATTCTGAATACGCAACGTGTTAGGGGAAGTAATTTACTATATGTAAGAACAAGATTTATCAAATTTTTCGTTATCAGGGCCTGGGAATAACAGTTTTTTTTAAAAAATGGTACGTATAGCTTCATTAACGATTATAGACAACTAATTTATTTTTTCAAACATATGTTATTGAATACACATCTTATCTTTTGTTTACTCACAACGTTTCGAAGTTTGATTTACTTCAGCTTCGGGTACTTGTAACATTTGTAAGTGAGCGAGTTTGTATGCTGTTGGTACACATGTACTGAATGTATCTCAATACTGGTCGAGTGATGAATAATGTATATAATTTTAAATTGACGATCAAACTGATGTATGACAAGAGTTTTTAAAGTACGAAGAATGTGGATTCTAAATGTTGATTGATTTCTACTTTACAATGTTTTCAAGTGCCTGAGATTGAAGTAAATTAAACTCCGAAATGTTGTGAGTAAACAAAAGGTAAGATGTGTATTCAATAATATATATTTGAATAAAATAAATTAGTTGTCTATAATCGTTAATGAAGCTGTATATACCAATTAACTCAAAGTGTATGAGAAGACACATTAACAACATTGTCGATATAATACTTTCTCTTCTTGCAAAAAACGAGAAAGGAAAATGTATTACTTGACACATATTTTGGTTTTCGTTTCACTTCATTACAACATTACTGGTTTAAACAATATATATCGCATGTCCCATTATAATCCACGCGTTTATGTACGAGTGAAGCGCTTTTGTGTTGAATGTTTCATGTAGAAACAAACATGTGCTCGTTGCGTGATAAATGCACAAATTGATAAAAATACAATGTGGTAAAACAATTTCCAAATTACGCTCTAGTAAACTACTGTAAAATGCATGATGTAACGTTGCCAATAGAACCATTTGAAGCTTACAAGAGAAATGATGAACCGTGCACAACTCCACGCACTAGTAACCAGAAATTTCCACTTAGGCACTAATTGTCTTCAGAGTAGGCATCCAAATAATGAGCACGCAATAGCTCATTTTAGTAATTGCTTTCTATGATGAGGAGGCGACAATTTATTGGAATTTAGTTTTAATAGAATGGAGGCAGAGTTCATGATAAACTAAGCCACTATCATGCAATAATACAGAAAAGATATGTACATAAAATACCCCTAGTATTAATGAACGAAAAATATAAAATAACCCATTTTCATTTAAATGTTGCACAAATTGAATACAAAAAGTGAATAAACGTTGAGTTAATTTGAAATGAATACACATAATTTAAGCCATTCAGAAGTCTGAATTTTCATCCAGATGGAAGTACAATTATCATCTGTCCCAAATAATGAACAAGACATTTTTTAAGTACTTTGAGAAGAGAACTTACGTTTAAGAACCATGTGAAAAATTTACACAATAAACAGCCTTTTTTGGTATTGTTTCTTCAAATCTCTCGCAGGCATATTATAATACTGACACAATTTTTGAATGAGCTATAGTCATTCAGGCGGAATTTTATTTTAACAGATTCTTTTGTACGTTTTTATGCACGGGACTTCTAATTAAAATATATTTAATTAATATTTTAATTAAGAGGAGTATCATTCACAAGGAGAATCATTTCAAAGGAGTATCATTGCAGGTATTACTATCATCAATTTTGAAATGAAGAAAGATCACAAAATTCCAGAGAGCAGCTCCATTGTTAAACCAGTGTTGTTCACGTGAACGTTTCAATTTCGGAGAACCTTCATATATTACTTCGCGCGTGGCGCGGCACACAACAGCACCGGGCCGAACGCGAGACACGGGGAGTGAGGGAGGGGGTAGGCAGTTGTGCGGGCGGGCTGGCGGACGTTGGTTCGCCCAGGCGCACCCTCACACGGCCCCCGCCGCCGCCGCCGCCGCCGCCGCCGCCTCCGCCGCCGTCGCCGCCACGGCCGGCGTACTCCACAGAGCGCACGGCACGCGTGGCTGACCACGTGAACGCGCGTCCACGTGTGTGCGCGCGCGCCGGAACACGCGTCGGCGAGCGGTGCGTGGACGGCCCGCGTCCCCGCCCCTACTCGCTCCGCCCCCCTCGCATACCCCTCCCCCACGCGCCGCGCACACCCGCACCCGTTGCGGGGACCCGCGTCCTGCGTCCTGGCGGCCTCCTGCGGTCTCGCCATGGTTGTGTTACACGCTGGCCTCGGAACTAGCAATACCTGCATGCACCAAGCGAAGCGAGGGGCTGGCTTTGAATTGACAAAGAGAAATGTCTCCGAAAACAACCGAGACAACAAGTATAATATTTTATGCTCGGAATACGGGGGAATATTTCAAAACTTTCTGATATAATGTCTGATTAATTGTGTGATGTATTATCAGATATACATTTTACATACTGAACAACAAACAAACATTTCTGTAAAAATTGATATCTTTCGTTTATTTACTTACTGAATTACGCAGTAGCTAAAAGGTAAAATACTAAAAGTCATTGATGTGAAAAAAGGTATTAATGGTCAACTTGAGACGAGATTTCAGGATATTTTCCCCTAATAAGGCATAATATATTTTTATCGTTTATATTTTTTGTGAGACTAAAAAATACTATTTTTTCAGTTTTTTTTTAGTTTTTAATTGTCTCACTTGAATATTTTTTTTATATTTTCTGTTCTGAGACTTTCCCGAACAACAATTCTGCAATCCATCATCCAGCCTGTATTACATGTACTATTCACTTTGGGTTTTTGAATATGGTCTTGCAGACTCTCTCCAAAGCTCCTTACGCACTCTCCGGCGCGCCCTCCTCTCGCCCACCCCCTTGGCACGCGCCCACCGAGAGGAACTCGGCGTGCCATTAAGCGTACCAGGAAATTAAATTGCGACCCCTGATTGGCGGCCATTAGAACTCCCGAGTCCCTTTGTTATTGGCTATCGCTATGGAAACAGGTGGATTGTGCCGGTATTATATAGACCATTGGGTCCGATAGCTATTTTCAATTAGATAAGCCCTATATAACAATTAGGCAGGGCCCGACGGCATTAGCTAGAGATGAAACTATTACGGGGAGCTCAAGCCAGACGCTGCGCCGCACAATGGCGCCCGCATCCTCGCCCCGCGCGCGCCGTCGCCCGGCCCCCCCGCCTCCTCGGCGCAGGAGTCGGGGTCGGGGTCGGCGTCGGGGTGGGGGTGGGGTGGGGGCTGAGGGCAGGAGTTGGGCTGGGGCGGAAGCGAAGGGGATTCGAGAGGAGCTGGGGACTGGAAGGACTGGTGAGAGCAAGAGGCAACGTGGACGGGAAGATAGCGAAACAACTAGAAGAAAACGGAGATGGGAGCACGGGGATGGAGAAGAGACTAGGCTCTCAGGGAGGGCGGAAGAGGCGAGGAGAATGGATGGAGAATAAACAACAACTGTATGTATGAGAGATACTT